TGGGGCCCCGTCCCCCCCCCCCCCCCTTTCAGGTCAGAAAAATAAACTCCTATTTTAATAATAAGTCAAAACTTACATTTTACTGTATCTGAAATCATTTATTGTCTGTATAGTTTTTTGCATATTATTTCATATTGAAAGGGTTTCATGCAGTCCGGGCAGGCCTCAAATTCCCATTCCTCCTATCTTAGCCTCACTATGACCAGCTGAAACCTAACCAGTGTGATTTTCAAAATCTGAACAAACAAAAATTTTAAGTTAGGGTATAACATTTTATTTTTCTTTAGCATCAAGTTGAAAATATTTGCTGAAGAGACTGATAAAGGATGTTGTGGCTTTTTGAAATTCCAGAAATTATAATGTGAGCAGGTTTACATAACATCATTATTGAGCATCATACAAAATGGAGAATGAAAATTAAAGCCTTATTTTCTGTTTTCATTTTATTATGGTTATGAAAGTTTTGTATTCTAGTCATCAGGTTCTGATATGTTGGGGAAAGGCAGGAAAATGCCTTGTGCTATGTTAGATAATTAAACAAAGGTCAAGAAGACCAACTGAATGAAGAATTTATGAGAGAGGTATTTCAAGATCAACATAGAATAGTTTCTTTGGCTTTTTTGCAGTTATTTTTGCTTCCCTCATTCGGCAAAAGCATAAAGATAAATAATGGTCCCCGTTTAAAAACAAAACCAAAAATATAAGGGATACATAACAGTCACAATCTTTGCATAGGAAGCATTGTACCCTTATTTTTGGTTTAAAGAATCCATGTTGCCCTGTTTAAATGGTTTAATAGGCTTAAAAGAATATCTTTGGGTTAAATTCACCTAAAGGCTCTGCTTGCATTTGAATTTGTTTAAATTGAGAAAGTATGTGGTCCTTGGTGTAGGGAGCTTGTTGGGTGCACAAATTGTCACATAATGGCTGTGGCTCTCAGAGTTTCAGGAAACATCCCCAGAGCTGACAGACCACTGCTGCTTGGATTCTGAGACTGTCTGTTTGTTACTTTTCATGCTATAGCATCTATTTAAATAGATCTCAGGTAAAAAGGCCACCTGCTAAGTTCTTACCTTTATATCTCAAGTCCTAGAATTCCTGGTGCTGCTCCTAACAGC